TTCAGCTTCATCTTCCAGGCTCACTTGGATGGCAACTCTGCTCCTTTGGCTTTAGGCTGCCCCATTCTCCTAGTCCATCTGAGTGAGAACCCCACCCCTTTAGCTCGGGCAGGCACCTGTTCTTCTGCCCCTTGGGCATGGCAGCCCCACACTTTGGAACCAAGTCAGCGACTGACTCTTTAAAACCCAAGAGGCTATGACCCCACCCTTTGAGATCCAGGAGACAGTGGCTCCACCCTTTGAAACCCAGAAGACCCTGCTTCCTCTGCTCCTTCCAACAGTTCTGCTAATCCATGAGCAGCTCCAGGGATAGTCCTTTTCTTTTCTTGGAGGACAGCAGATGTAGCTCCTTCAGCCTGTTTCCTGCTTGTAGAATTCCAAGAGACAGCCAGCATTCTCTTCCTTTGTTCTTTCTCTTGCCCCTTCAGTCTAAGCTGATGGGTTTTCTGCGGTGGTAGTTGGTTAGATCCATCAGTCACAGGCTTAATCCCTTTAACAAAAGATTGTGTAGCCACATCCTTCGTGAACATTCTAGGGCACATATCCTTAGTTTGTACAACAGAATTTTCCAAATTTTTACTGCTGTTTACATTTTGCACAGTTCATTTTTAAGTCTATCTCTTTCTTGTCGCATTTCACTGTAAGCAGCAAGAAACCCTTTAAGACCTTGCTTAGAAATTTCCTTAGCCAGATAGCCAAGTTCATTACTTACAAGTTCTACCTTCCACCAAACATTTGAACATAATTCAGACAAGTTCTTTTCCGCTACATAAAAAGGACAATCGCCCTTCCTCCATTGTCCAATTACATGATCATCATTTTCTTTTAAATTCTCACCAGAAGCACATTTAATGTCCATATTTCTATCAACATTCTGTTGCTGGTGCCATATGTACAGTCAGCCCTTTGTATCCTCAGGTTCCACATCCATGGATTCAACCAACTGTGGATCAAAACTATTTAAAAAAAAAAAAAGTTCCAAAATACAAAACTTGAATTTGCTGTGAGCCAAACACTATGATGAATCCACGTGAATGAAGTGATGTGAAGGCATACCCTGCTGTAGCCTCTCGCCATTTCACAGATCCTTAATCTCTCCCCAGCACTTGTTGTTTGAGTATTATTTGCCTTGCATCTTGTCATTATACCCTAAACAATAATGTGTAACAACTATTTACATAGCATTTACGTTGTATTTGGTATTATAAGTAATCTAGAGATGATTTAAAGTATACGGGAGGATGTGGGTAGGTTATATGCAAATACTATACCATTTTATATAAGGGACTTGAGCATCCATGGATTTTGGTATCTGCAAGGGTCCTGGAACCAATCCCCTGCAAATACTGAGGGATGACAGTATTCTCCAAGACGATAGAGACTTTCTCTATAGCTCTCCTCACTTCCTTCAATAGTCTCTTCAAGGCAATCCAGGCTTTTACTGTTAGCTACTTTAAAAATCTTCCAGCCTCTACCCATTACTCATTTCCAAAACTGCTTCCACATTTTAGGTATCTGTTAGAGCAGCACCGTACTCTTCCAGTACCAAATTCTTAGTTATCTAGTGCTGCTATAACAGAAATACCACAAGTGGATGACTTGAACAAACAAATTTATTTTCTCACAGTTTAGGAAGCTAGAAGTTAGAATTCAGAGCCCCTGCTCTAGGGGGTAGGCTTTCTCCCTCTGTCAGCTCTGAAAGAAGGCCCTGTCTCTTCAGTTTCTGCTTCCTGGTCCCTTGGTAATCTCCACATGCCCTGGCATCTGTCTTACCCCATCTCTGCTTTTAGCTTTCATTTAATCTCTTATATCTCAAAACAGATTGTCTCAAGATACACCCTACACTAATCCTGCCTCATTAACATAACAAAGACAACTCATTCCGAATGGGTTTATAACTACAGGTATAGAGGTTAGGATTTACAACACATATTTTTAGGGGACACAATTCAATCCATAACAATGACATAGAATTGTATAGTTTAGAATGGTTAAAATGGTATGTTTTATGTGATGTTTATTTTATCACACACAAAAAAATCAATTTAGAAAATACATGAAAAATGTCTGACATGTAGAAGCCATTGATAATATTTTAAGGAATAGGTAGTGGAACAAATGTGAAAGTTTTTTGGACAGTTCTGCCCCTTGCAGTTAATGTATATTTAGTATATGCAAATCTCTGATAATTTTCATATTTGTGGAAAGTAAAGTTGTTCGGCTGCTAACCAAAAGGTTGGCAGTTCAAATCCACCAGCCACTCCTTGGAAACCCTATGGGGGCAATTCTACTCTGTCCTAATGGGTTGCTATGAGTTGGAATTGACAGCAATAAGTTTGGTTTTTTGGTTTGGAAAGTAAAGTGCTGTTTTATGTGTGATAAAAACCAATAGAGTGCTTCAAGAACCACCAAATAATTACATAAATATCTCAATTATTGTTCTCTTCAATAAATATATAGGAGAAACAAGTATCATGGTATTGCTCTCCTGTGATCATAGCAAAGATTCAGGTCAGAATTCTCCTTTTATTATCTATCCAACATCATTGGTCAAGCATTCTTGAATGCAGTTTATTCTTGAAGGTAGTGCATAGTCCTTGTATAGGCTCTTAGGTTTCAGTGATCTTTTGCTGCAAATCTAACATACCAGCAAGAGTTCTATCAATACTAAAATACTGAGATTTTCAAAGGAGAGGTCTTTCAGCTTCAAACGTTATTATAAACTTCTTTACTGAGGTAAAATTATAGCAATCTGAGGTTTGGGGGCCTTGGTGAGTAACTCCCTCTTTTTCTCACAAGTGAGGTGGACTGTGGGTTTTCTTGCTTTTTTCCTAGAGGTCCGGTACTTCCATCTCTCAGTGCATCTCCCCACTCTGCTGGAGTCATCCTTTCTAGTCTGGATGACTTGGGTTTGGGGATTGTCCCTCAGCCAGGCCTGCACTTCTGTCCTCTCATGATAGAGCAGTCACTGCTACTACTAGCTCAACAATGAAAAGTTCTCAGTTTCCCAAACAGCTTTCTATCCAGCTTAACTATGTTAAAAGGATAGTTATTACCAAACAATTTGGAAATAATAGAAGTGTTATTTTGTATCTTGCAAAACCATTTGATATAACCTGTAGAGGTGGGCTTTTGCAGACAACTCAAGTTCATTGACAGCTGAAGTCATAATAAAGATGAAAACATCTCCTGGTCATTGAATTTTTTACTACATGGTAGGTGTTGTGCTGTTTTTACATATAGTCTTTTAATTTAATCTTGACAATTTCATAATGCAGGTATTATTGTCACCTCCATTTTGCAGATGAGAAGACTAAGTTTCAGAGAGGTTGAGTGCTGAAGACTACAAAGCTCTTTGTAAATCGTCAAGCTAGGATTTGATCCAGGCCTGCCTGACTCCAAAGCAAGGGCTGTTAACCATTACATTAGTGTCCTCTTGCCTCCTATGATGGCATAAAGGATTGTATCAGAATGGGTAATTTGTGGTGAAACCCCCCTGTGTGAGAATTTAGTCTGACTTTTCTCTACAGCAATACTTGAAGATGCCACAAAGATAGGAGCAGCTGTTGAGATTAAACGTTTCATTGTCTGGCGGAATAGAATTCAGAAGTTACTCCCCTCCACTCTGTAATGGATTTGGAGGACACTTCAGCCTTAGTTGACAGTTTTAAGAATTACATGGGCTACAGGTGAAAGTTTATAGATCAGAAGCTAAATTTAACAGCCAGATGAGACTTGAGTGTGGTAGAAGACCCTTTATTCAGTCAATAAGCAATGTGGGCAGCAGTAGTACATACTATATTAGAATAAAAATAAAGGAATAAAAAACGGGCACAAAAGTAAAGGATATCGTGACTGTCCTCAATGATGAACATTTTAAGGAAAAATGATGAACATTTTAAGGAAAAATGATGAGATTTGGGTATGCTTTCAAGCCAAAGGCCTATCATACATGAAGATCGTTTAGGGTCCTGAAGTGATGGGAGTTCTAGTCCTTGTCCAGCATCTTAGAACAGTCGTGTGATTTTGGAAGACTGGGCTTTGGCTTCCTCTTCTACAATGAAAATTAAAAAATAAGAGTAATAAAGAAGAGAAAACAAAACAAACCCAAAACCTTGATTTTGGGAAGCAGAACCATTTTTTAAGTAAAAAGTCATGAAGGAGATTTCTGAGCATTGTTTCTAAACTAGCTTTAGCCAGTGGTAGTTTGCTTCAGATATTATAACGGTTGTTATAAATGGCATGTCATTTGATTTCAATATTTTACTGTTAAAAATCAGGATGTCAAACGGATTTCTGTTGTTTAAACAGTCACGAAGCCCAGATATGTACACCGTGCTAACTTGCAATGCTGCAACTTTCTAAACGGCCGTAACTGCATCCACCATGACACATTCAATTTTGTACTTTGTGCTCAACATAGTTTTAATAGCCGCATGAACAAAGATAACTATATTTGGAGTGAATTTTCACATTGTCATCTTTGCCTTATGAAATAGTGTGGGAGATTGCTCTTTGTTCTCCTAATTTACATTCAGCCACAGGAGAAATCAAAGGCAAAAGAAAACGCAAAAAACAAAAGGAACGTCCAAACACACCGTTCGGAAACGGCCAAAAAATTGCCTCTAGGTTGTGCGCTCTGGGTCTCTGTGCTTCCAGTTTGCGAGGAACGTAGAGGTTTACTCCTCTTTTAGGCTCTAACTTTCGTCTCAAAGGTGTAGAGATCCAGGTGTAAACGATCCTACACTTCACCGCCCAACACCCCAGCAAGTCGCCCGCGGGTCCGGCGGAGGCGCCGCGCAGCAAGGCTCTCGCTAACGTCCTTTTCCGTGGTGCCGCTGGGAGTTGTAGTTTGCATAGGTCCGGCGGCGCTAGCCAGAGCGTGGAAGACCCGGCGAGAACTACACTTCCCAGGAGCCCTCGGGTCTGGCGGGGTCGCCGGGGAGAGGCTCAGGCGGCTGGTTCGTAAATCCGGCGGGAGGTGGTAGCAGCGCTGATGTTGGTGGAAGCGTGCCTAGCGGTGAGGAGGAGCTCAGCGTTCGTTGGTGGGCGACCGGCGCCGAGGAGAGGTCTTATGGGTTGCGGGGGTCGGGCTGGCTCAGCAGAGGGAACGCGGCTGAGGGCCGGGGTGGTCGGCGGGCCGCACGGAGTACCAGTTTAATGTCTATCACAGGTTAACGCTGTTGTTTCTTCGGAGAGCCTTGAAAGCCTGCCTTTCAGGCGGGTCTCACTGTGGTTTTGGCTTGACTTGGAGCTATTTAAACGCGCAGAAGAAGAGAGTTAAAGTGGCGTTGCTTTCTGTCCTCTGTGTGGGCTTATCGCTTTCATCCCTGTAAAGTGCTTCTGTTTTAAAGTTTCACTATAGATTTGTGGCGTTTGACGAGTAATAAGGGTTTCAAGGAAGGGTTTTATTTTGGCGAACTTATTAATCACTTCCTAAACCAACCGTTTACTTTTCAGGGCCTTTTTTTCCTCAGGGTGCAGAGAGTTTATCTTCTTTTTTTTTTAAATGGCTTTAAGAGCGTTTATATAGACGTTTCAAGGCTGACACAATTTGTTTCAGTAGGATTTTGATATCTGTAAACTCTAGAGTCCACATACTAATCCTGTCTAGGCATTTTTTGCTATAAATGCTTCCTTTACATAGGCTTATTATCAATAATGAATAGCAGATTGAGGTAAAACAGTATTTTTATATTTAATGCTAACATTAAGTATACTTTTAGGATCATAGTAATGAAACTGAAATGAAGGTATAGACTTTTGTTTTTCTTTAAGTGGGCGAAAGATGCAGATGCCCTGTGACAACGTTATATAACACGTAGTGTTCGTCTATTAGGGAACTTTTCTAGTTTTGTTTTTTTAATTTTTAAAATATTAAAAAAAATTGTGAAATATATATAATAAGACACTTGCGAATTCACCATTTTTTACATGTACGATTTCATTGACATTAATTGTGTTCATCATGTTGTGCAACCATCACCATTATCTAATTTTTCTGTTACCCTGAACAGAAGCTGAGTGCCCCCTAAGCAGTGCCCCCCTTCCTCTCTCCCCTGGTAACCACTAATAAATTTTGGTCTCTGGATATTTCATGTAAATGGGTTCATACAGTATTTGTCCCTTTGTGACTGACTTATTTCACTTAGCATAATGTTTTCAAGGTTCATCCATGTGGTAGCATGTATCAGGACTTCATTTCTCTTTATGGCTGAGTATATTGCATTGTATGTATATACCATATTTTGTTTACCAGTTCATTTGTTGGTGGACATGTAGGTTGTTTCTACCTTTTCGCTATTGTGAAGAGTGCTGCAATGAACATTGGTGTACAAGAATCTGTTTGACTTCCACTTTTCAGTCTTTTGAGTATATACCTAGGAGTGGAATTGCTGGGTCATCTGGTAGCTCTATGTTTAACTTTTTGAGGAACTGTCTATCTGTTTTTCATAGCGGCTGCACCATTTTACAATCCTGCTAGCAATGGATGAGGGTTCCAGTTTCATCACCTCCTCACCAAAACTTATTATTTTGATAACAGCCATCCTAGTGGGAGTGAGGTTGTATCTCATTGGGGTTTCGATTTGTATTTCCGTAATGGATAACGATGTTGAGCATCTTTTCATTTGCTTATTGGCCATTTGTGTATCTTTTTTTAGTGAAATGGCTGTTCAAGTCCCTTGCCAGTTTTTAGATTGGGTTGTCTTTTTGTTGTTGTGTTGTAGGAGTTCTTTATATAGTCTGGATATTAAATCCTTGTGATATATATTGTTCCCAAATATTTTCTCGCAATCTGTAGGTTGTCTCTTCACTTTGTTGATAAAAGTTCTTTGATGCACAGATGTTTTAAATTTTGATGAAGTCCAATTTATCTATTTTGTTTTTTTTTTTTGTGTGTGTGTGCTTTTGGTGTCGTATCTAAGAATTCATTGTTGAAAACTAGATCCTGAAGTGCTGCTCGTATGTTTTGTTCCAAGAGTTTTATGGTTTCAGTTCTTACATTTAGGTTTTTGATACATTTTGAGTTAATTTTAATATATGGTGTGAAGTATGGATCCAGCTTCATTATTTTGCATGTGGAGGTCCAGTTGCCCCAGCTTCATTTATTGAAGAGACTGTTCTTTCCCCATTGGATGAACTTAGCAGCCTTGCCAAAATCGGTTGTTTCTGGATTCTTTAGTCCATTTTACATTATAGTCCATTTGCTTTGGCTATTTGGGGCCTCTTACAATTCCAGATAAATCTGAGGATTGTCTTTTCCATTTCCACAAAGAAGGCTGCTGGAATTTTGATAGGGATTGCATTGAATCTGTAAATCACTTTGAGTAGTATTGACATCTTAACAATATTGAGTCTTCCAGTCCATGAACATGGAATGTCTTTCCATTTATTTAGATAGATGGCTGCTGTTGAGTCAACTCCAACTCATGGTGACTTTACATACAACAGAATGAAACATTGCCCAGTCTTGTGTCATCCTCATGATGGCTGGCATGTTCAAGTCCATCACTGCAGCTGTTGTGCCACTCCAGCTCACCAAGTGTCTTTCTTGCCCTTGCTGGCCCTCTTCATCCTCCTCCTCAACCAGTGGTCCCTCTTGCTGGATAGTGTGTCCAAAGCAAGCAAACTGGGCAGTGTTCTGTTGTGATCCATAAGATTTTCATTGGCTAATTTTCAGAAGTAGATTAGCCAGAACTTTCTTTCAGTCTGTTTTAGTCTGGTAACTTTGCTGAAACCTGTCCACCATGGGTAACCCTACTGGTATTTGAAATACCGGTGGCATTGCTTCCAGCATTATAGCAATACACAAGTCACTATGGTACAACAAACTGATAGATAAGTTGTGGTCCATTTATTTAGATCTTCTTTAATTTCTTTCAGCAATGTTTTATAGTTTTAAGTTTATAAGTCTTTCACCTCCTGGTTAAGTTTATTCTTAGGTGTTTTATTCTTTTAGATGCTATGGTAAATGGAATTGTTTTCTTAATTCTCTTTTCAGATTGCTCATTGCTGATGTGTAGAAACCCAACTGATTTTTATGTGTTGATCTTGTACTTGCCACTTTGTTGAATTCATTAGCTCTATTACCTTTTTTCTTTTGTGTGTGGATTCTTTGAGATTTTCTCTATTTAGGATCATGTCATCTGTGAATAGGGATAGTTTACTTCTTTATTCCTGGTTTAGATAGGTCTTATATCTTTTCCTTGCCTAATTGCTCTGGCTAGGACTTCCAGTACAATATTGAACAACAGCGGTAAGAGTGGACATCCTTGTCTTGTTCCCGATCTTAAAGGGAAAGCCCCTCCTTATAGTTTTTGATGTCATACCAAATGGTCTTGTAGCTTGTCTCATTCCTGAATTTGGATTTCAAAAGGTTTTCTGCCAAGGTCATTGAAATTTAACCAAGGTTACCATTTGGTGAAATGCTGTTATCTTTTTATATAGACTTCCAACTAAAAAACAATTAGAATTAGTTTACTTAAAACAGGTTTAAAGAATTATTAAGGAATAACATATATCCAGTAAAGAGCACTAATCTTAAGTGTACTGTCTAAATTTATATACATCAGTGTAATCACAACCTAAATAAAGATAAAGAACACTTTTTATCACTCTTGAAGGCAGGAGCCCCATGGTGGAGGGTCAGGGGACCGGGTGATTTTTGTTCTGGAACTGTGGAGAACATAGGTTCCCTAGCTGGGCAAAGAAGCAATGCCAGATTAGGGACAGAAGCGTGAAGGTGCTTCATATGGGTAATATCTGATATTGATACTGGCTTTATTTTTTTGTAATTAAATAACTTAGAAGGTGTTTTAGCTCCCATAGTTTTAGGTCAACTGATTTGTCACTTGTATAAAATCGTCAGTAATTGAATGATTGGACTAGAAGGAATCTTAGGTTATTTATTTTGTTGTTGTTGAGAATATACACAGCAAAACATACATCAATTCAACAGTTTCTACATGTACCTTTTAGTGACATTGATTACATTCTTAAAATTGTAAAATCATTCTCACCCTCCTTTTCAGAGTTGTTCCATATACTCATTGTCCCCCTCCAGGTTCTTATCTAATCTTTCAAGTTGCTGTTATCAATTTTATCCCATATAGATGGTTCATAAAAGAGCATAATGCTCAAGGCAGATATTTTTTACTAGTTAAGCTAAACTATTGTTTGGTAGATCTTAGGTTATTTGAACCAATCAATTGGGATATTTAAGACTTTTAAAAAGATATGTAGCTTAATGCCCTTTTGCTTTGTTAGTAAGCAACTTTTGTATATGAAATATTTAGTACATTTTTGTATTGGGTTGAGATTTGGGCTAGTTTGGAGTAGAATATCTAATAGCTTTAACTAATATTTTTTCTTGGCTATTTTCTGTCTACAGGTATTGGAAATCAGTAGCTTTTCCAGTTTTTCCATTACTTTAATATAACACTGTCTTTGGACTGAAATGTTCCTGATGCCAGCCTCTTCAGAATTAAACAATGGGCAGAACTTCTTAACCCAGTGGATGACCAATCCTTCTCGGGCTGGGGTCATATTAAATCGTGGATTTCCTGTTTTGGAAGCAGAAGGACAGAATCAAGCAGCTGTGAATCTTTCTACCAGTTTTCCTATTAAAGCTACACATTTTTCAAATAGCTTCGGCTTTATAAATGAAGAAGATCTGCTTCATGAAGAACAGAAGTTGGAGACTAACAGCTCTTACAAACTACAATCAGATAAATCTAAAACACATACAGTCTTTTCTGTAACTAAAAAGAAACCACAAATAGTGGCACATAAGGATGTTCCTGGATACTGGGAAGATAACAAAAATGACTTCATCCTAGATCTTGCAAGTGAATTCAAAGAAGTGGCTTATAAAGACCCACTTTTTAATAAACTTGAACAGGTAGAGCAGGATTACCTGATATGTATTTGTGTTACTGCAGGTTTCTGTTTATGTTGAAAAGTCACCTCTTCCAGGTCTTCTTGTTTCTTCTCCCTTGCTCTGAAATCCTCAGTATACCAAATTTTTCCCTTTGTCTCATGTGAAACATTAAAAAACATTTTAAATATGTAAGATATATACATAACACTTAGTATCTTTAAGTTGCTACCTCATTTGATAAAACTAAATTAGAAATGGTTGGTCACGTATTAGGGAGAAAAAGCTGATGATCATAAACATACAGTTGCGTACCCTACTTTAAGAATCAAAGGATTGATATGGCTGTTTCTGTTTCTTACTTGAGATAGTTGATATGATTTCCTTCATAAGATATTGGATTTTAGATTTTTGGTAGCAGCTTTAGTTAGTTAGGAATCTCTCTTTGAAACTCTTTATTAAGGAAGATAAGAAACGGGAGGTGGGAGGACGAGAAGGCACGAGGGGACAGGAAAGCTGGTAACAGTCTATAAGGGGAGAGTTTTGACACGTCATGGGGTGGGTAGCCAATGTCGCAAAATAATATATGTATTGTATAACGAGAGACTAATTTGTTCTGTAAAACTTCATCTAAAGCACAATTGGAAAAAAAAAGAAGAGGTGGGAGGGGTAAACATAAATATAAGGAGCAAGGATCTGTGAAGAAATGTTAATTTAATATGGTTGATTTTATGTTTAAAAAGCTGAAGGAAGTACAACAGAAGAAGCAGGAACAACTGAAGAGGCAACAGTTAGAGCAACTACAAAGACTCATGGAAGAACAAGAGAAGCTGCTTACTATGGTGTCTGAGCAACATACATTCCCAGGTATTTTTGCTAATGTAGGCCCTTCAGTTAGTACAGTGATACATAGTTGCATACATTTCTTACGTTTAGTTGCTTATTAGGCTATTTCTACCATTCCTCCATCATATGTTGCAAACTCTAGTCTCATAGGGTCTAGGCAGATAAATGTGTGAAATGGTGACAGTGTAATATAATTGGGACAAATAGGAATTGTGACATTCTGGAGTGTGTGCCATGCTTAAAAGCATTCACATTTATTAAAGAAGCCAAATTTTGTTCAGGGCCAGTAGTTTACAGCTGCCTGATGCATAAAAAACTGCTCAGGGGCCATAAAGGTAAATATGTGTGGCAGCCATACCAAAAATAGTTCGTGGTAGCAGATGACAGTATTCTTCTGTTGTATGCTAGATGAGTTAATAGAAAGCATGATGTATTTGCTTATCAGGGAAAAAAAAACCTGTTGAAATATGATCTGGAGGAATGACTTTGCAAGTTGACTATATTCTATAGTAACAAAAATGTTTTAAATCATAACATAATGAAACAGAAATTTCATAAACCTGTCCTTTTTGGTGTTCTGGCATGTAAAGGATATTTTCTATTTTATTTATTCTATTCCATGTTGTTTTATAAACTGTTGGTCATGACCTATTGCATGTGGTGATAAAATTACTAATGGAATGTGCCCCACAGTTTGAAAAACAGTGATTTGGAGTAATGTGTTTGCTTCTTGGTCCTACCTTTTAAGAAACACACTACTGATTCAGGAAAGTGCCCGTTCTGCTGAGAGACTGTGCTAGGCATTGAGTACACAAACAAACAAACAAAAATTGGCAAATAAGTGTGCAGACTATGACTAAGTGGGGAACAGGGAGGTGGCGGTTAGGCAGTCCAGCAAATGAAGAATGGTTGAGGGAATTTTTATCTTGGAGAAGATAGATACCATGTGGTATGTATCTTGAAATATTTGAATGTTCTGGGTTTCTTTATGGAATACATAAAAAGAATAATTAAGATCACTTAAATAATAGCCTGTGATAGATTTTCAGGTAGAAATAGCACTATGGTAGAGTGACAGGGAGGTGATTTCAAAGTTATTAATATAAGAAATAGCCCCATTCAGTCATGGAACAGATTGCTTTAAGACAGTGATTTTCAATTTTTTTTATCTCAGGACCCCTTAACGCTCTTCAGTTATGGAAGACCCCAAAGAGCATTTGTTATAGGGTCTGTATGTATCAATATACTAGAAATTGAAACTGAGAAATTTAAAAATTAATAAAAAATAATAATAAACCATCTTGGGGGACATCTAGCTCAATTGGCGTAACATAGTTTATTTTCTGTGGTGAGTAGCATCTGGGATCTTAAAAGCTTGTGAGCGGCCATCTAAGATACTCTACTGGTCCCACCCTCCCTGGAGCAAGGGAAAATGAAGAAAACCAAGGACACAAAGGAAAGATTAGTCCAGAGGACTAATGGACCACAACTACCACAGCCTCCGCCAGACTGAGTCCAGCACAACTAGATGGTGCCCAGCTACCACCACTGACTGCTCTGACAGGGATCACAGTAGAGGGTCCCAGAAAGAGCTGGAGAAAAATGTAGAACAAAATTCAAACTCACAATGATCAGATTTACTGGTCTGACAGAGACTGGAGAAACCCTGAGAGTATGGCCCCTGGATACCCTTTTAACTCAGTACTGAAGTCACTTTTCAGAGTCACCCTTCAAAGATTAGACAGGCCCACGAAACAAACAGTAATACACATAGCTCAACCACGTATATGAGACTTAATGGGCACACCAACCCAGGGACAAGGACGAGAAGGCAGGAGAGGACAGGAAAGCTGGATGAATGGAAATGGGGAACCCAAGGTCGAGAAAGGGAGAGTGTTGACACCTTGCGAGGTTGGCAACCAGTGTCATAAAACAATATGTGTATTAATTGTTTAATGAGTAACTAATTTGCTCTATAAACCTTCCCCTAAAGCACAATAAAAAAAAATTGTGGTATAAATAACATTTTTAATGAAAACTTTTCTAAAACAAAAAAATTTAGTGAGAAGAATGGCATTGTTTTATATTTTGAAAATCTTTTTAACTTCTGGCTTAAGAAAAGTCATCTGATTCTGTCTATTTCTGTATTCAGTCTATTGAGACATGTTGTTTTGATTGAAGTATGTGGGAAAAAAATCCAGCCTCACATGGGTATGTACTTCAAAAAAGGAGGGGAGTATTTTAGTACCTTTTTCAGATAATTGTGGTTATTCTTCTTGGATGTTGCACCAAAACTCAACAAATGGTTGTTTCTAGGCAGTTATTTTCCCATATAGATTCTGAAACCCTACTGATGAACTTTTATAATCTATTACATTAAAATATATACTGATATCTTGGTGTTTTTAATGAATCGTATCATATGTGATTTGGTAATATGCACTGGTTATTTGAAAGATAATGGTTCACTTAGTTATGTAGGTCTTCAAAATGTTGAGATATTTCATGATACAATATAAAAAAATTATATTCACTAATATAGCAAATTTCCAAAATTGCAGTTTTTACTTGAAAGCTGAAATTTGTCATTGACACCAAACATTGTCAGTTGTTTTCCTTGAGGTGACTGGTTCACTTGTTTCATTTTTGAGAAAATGTCTGTCCTGTACCCAGGTTTAAATAATCATAGTTTGTCATTCAATCTTTTTTTTTTAAATTAATATTTTATTATGTTTAAGGTGAAAGTTCACACAGCAAATTAGATTCCCATTTAACAATTTCTACACAAGTTATTCAGTGGTATTGGTACCTTTTTCACATGTGTCATCTTTCTCATTCATTCTTTTCTGGTTGTACCATTTCCAGTACTCTAGTTTCCCTGCCCCCTTACCTTCTCGTCTTTGTTTTAGAGAAATTTTTGACCATTTGATCTCATATAGATGATTTTTTAAAGGAGCTCATTACTCACAGGTGATATTCTTTATTTTATGAGCCAATCTGTTATTTAACTAAAAGGTGACTTCTAGGGATGATTTTGGTTCAAGGTTTAAAGAGTTATCTCAGGGCAATAGTCTTGAGGATTCCTCTAGTCTCAACTGGTCCAGTAAGTCTGGACTTCTAAGAAGTTGAGTTCTGTTCCACATTTTTCTCCTGTTCTATCAACGTCTGTTTATTTGGCCATGAGCAGAACGGTTGGTAGTGGTAGCCAGACACCATCTAGTTCTTCTGGTCTCAGGGTAGCTGAGGCAGTGGTTCGTGTAGACTATTAGTCCTGTAGACTTTCTTCTGAGCCTTTGGTTTCCTTCTGTCTCTTGTTTCAGACGAACAGAGATCGATAGTTACGTATTTTATCTTAGATGGCTGCTTAAAAGCTTTTAAGACCCCAGACACTACTCTTCCCTTTGGGATGTAGAGTATACACTTCGTGAACTATATTATGCCATTTAACTAAATTTGTCCCATGAGACTATGGTCCTAAGTCTTCAGACCCTGAAAACCAATCTCATGAGGTATTTGGTTGTGCCTAAGAAGTATCCATAACTATGTCCCCTGTCATTCAGTCTTTCAAGTAAAACTGATGTTCTTTGAAAAAAGTGGCTAGGTGAGCTTACAACTCAAACAATTACACAAGTGCTTTTCCTTACCAAAAAAGAAACCCATTGCCGTTAAACCGATTACTTAAAACAACCATGTTTTGGCATAAATGCTTTTTGTGTACTTACCATTTTGTCCCATAGAATGTTGAAAAGACATGTATTCAGAGGGTGAGATTTAATAAAATAATACTTTGAGCTAATGAGCTAGCAGTTTTATGCATCGCTTTTGTACCATCAATGCAAATGTCAACACAGTGAAAAGGGCGAATATATCTTAATAGTGTTATGAAATAATTTTGGCCTTTTGGATGCCCTGGAAGGGTCTCAGGGACACCCAGGGGTCTACAGAGAACGTACTGAGAACTGCTTTTGTCAAAGACATCTTCACGTTTTAGTGGGATGACCATTTGTCAAAAATATTGAAGAGGGGAGGGTATTGCTGTAAAGGAAGGGAGATTAAACCTTATATTCAGTGAGGCCCTACCTGATTCTCTAGTTTTATTTGTGGACTGGGAGTGAGATAGATAGGGGGTTGAAATGATAGGTAGCAGTGGACCGTTTATAAAACACTTTCTATTGTGTCTTCCACATTTAGGCGAGACAGTCTGGGAGAACAGAGGGCTAGTAGCAGGATTTCAAGGGGTTAGGATAGCAGGCAGGATGGATAGGATGCCATCTAATCTCTTAAGTATATCACAGCATGGCCACTGTTTTGGGGAATCTTCTCTCTGTTTACTGGGTTATTCCAAAAGCATACATTTAAAAAGCAAAACAAACAAAAAGTAGTATAGGAAATTTAAAAAATACAGAAAAGTACAAAAAGGAAAAATCACCTGTAGTTCCCCTACCTAAGGAACTATGTTAATGGTAGTCTAAAGAGACAATACTTTTATATGCCGTCACATAGAACAATTATTAATCTTTAGGGAACAATTCACATCATTTGTAAATATCTGCATTAGTGCTCTGTGTCTGTCACAGGGCTGCATCATTGCTTTCTCAGATGGAATGTGAATGATGTCCTCTGGAGTTAGGCAGAGCTGCAGCTCTACCATGTACAGATTGTCTGCACATATACTGTAGTACAACCTGTTGCCATCAAGTCAATTCCAATTCTTAGCGACCCTATAGGACAGTAGAACTGCCTCATAGGGTTTCCAGGGAGCAGCTGGTGGATTCAAACTGCCAACCTTTTGGTTAGGAGCTGAACTCTTAACTACTGCATCACCAGGGTTTCACACTGTAGTGTAAACATCTCTTAATTAAAATTATATGAAGTTCATTTTGGAATGTTAAATTTAATGTTAAACACAGTTTTCTAGTAAGGAAAAAAAATATATTTTTGCCACTTTCCTTTGGAGAATAATTTGTGGGATGGGAGTCACAAGTATGCTGAAGAGAAAATGTTGCCGAAAGTCATCAGCTTTGTTTTTCTTAATTACAAGCTTCAACTTTACTGCCTGATGGTCAGAGCCAAGAGTATAGAGCTCCATGTACTTCAGCTACTGTAGATAAAACCACGCCCTTCTTACCATCATTTATTCACCAGAATCAAACTCAAGAAAAAGTGTACACTTCCAGCATTTTATTGGATGAACAAAACAACTTCTGTAGAACTGCTAATCAAGATTTTGTCTTAACTTCAAAAAGTAGTGCTTCTCCCAGTTTGTTTTGTGCAGCACAGTGTCAGGAAGCACCTGTGAAAGAAAATGATTTGAAGGAAGAAAACCATCGCCATCCTTCTGGTGAGTTAGTTATAGTTCTCTCTTCTGTACTTAAATAACAGTGTTACGAAGTTTTCCTAAGACAAGAGAATCCTTTCTGCATTTTTTTTTACCCTGTCCATTATAGCTGTAATTGTATGGCCCTGCATGCTGTGCAAGGAGCTCTGATGGCACAGTGGTTAAGCACTCGGCTGCTAACCAAAAGATCAGCAGATCAAACCCACCCAGCTGCTCCAGAGGAGAAAAGACCTGACGATCTGCTCCTATAAAGATTACAGCCTTGGAAACTCTACAGGGCAGTTCTACTATCTGTTCTAGGGTTACTATGAGTCGGAATCGACTTGATAGCAACAGGTTGTAGTAGTAGTACATGCTGTGCAACCATGAGCCTGAATTGGACCCAAAGCAGGGCATAGGATTTGTGACTTTCCAAGAGCAATAGCAATACTCAGGCTGACTTCAAACCTTACATATTAGCATGGAGTCTTTTAAATGGGAGGCAATATTTCTGCATGTACCATTTTTCCTTGAGAGCTTAGAAATAGTCTGAAGTTGCTTTAAAGTGTGTGTGGTGCTGGTGGTGGTGGTAGGAGGAGACATGATAGAAAATGTGAAATTTGAGAAATAGGTTGGTGGAAGTTATTACTCATTAAAAAAAAAAAAAATTCCACCCTAATCCAGACACTCAAGTTTGTTCATCCACTATACCTCTGTCTTCCTAGCACCTTACAACATTCCTGGCATATAACTGGCTCTCAGCATTTGATGGTATAAACAAATTCAGTTCTCTTGGCACTTTTGATGTATTTTCTTCTAGTCTTTTTCTTTTTAGTCCTATTCTGGCATTTTTTTTTTTTTAAACATTCTATGATAATATTGTCTTTCCTATTGAGTGTTGGAAATGCTTGTAGTTCTGTACTCTTCATAACCTTAATTTTAATGACTGTATACTGTTCATCAAATTATATACCAATATTTAGTGTTCTTTAAGTTAGTACAAAATTCTTGCCAGTATTTTTTATATTAGAAATGTGCTTTCATGAATGCTTTCTTTTGAGTAATTTAAGTTACTGAAGAATACAAATAAGAAAAGATAACTTACTACTTAAAGTTAGACACCTTTGTGTATAATACCTAATTCCTAATTTAGAGTTAATTCTTTGGTATGGAAAGATCAAATGTCTTTTTAAACAGTATGCTCCCCTAGCCTTTTATTTAGAAAATTTCAAATATCCAGAAAAGATGAAAGACAACTGTAATAGTTGCATCTGGATTTAACAGTTAATATTTTGCCATATTTACTTTGTCTTATATGTATGTGAATATATATGTCTATGACTGTATATTTATGTATCTACATTTATATTTTGCTGAACCGTTTTATTAAAAGTAATATGTACACATTATGTTACTTAATTCCCACATGTTTCAGCAGGCATCAAGTAAAAATTAGGACATTCCTCTGTGTAACCACAACACCGTTATTATACCTAAGTAAATTAACAGTTCTTTTATTTTGAAATTTCCCCATTATCCCAAAAATGTTTTTTATAGCTGTTTTTTTAAAAACCAGGATCCAGTCCAAGTTCATGCATTACATTTAGTTTTTATAACTCTCTAGTCTTTTTTAATCTAGAAAGCTCCTTTTTTTTTCGTAGCATTAATCTTTTGCAGAATGTCAAATGTTTTATTAGGAATTTGTAATTTTTCTTTATCAGATTAAGGAAATCCTTGAGAGTTCTAGAATCTTTGCCATACATTACTTATAACTAAAAAATTTTCTAGCATAGTAGCTTGTAAAATTCTCAAGTTTTAAGACTTTAACCTGCTTTTCTTGAACTAAAATGTTCCTAATTTTTATCCTAGGAGAAGGTATTTTATCATGTTGGGAGAAAATGACGAAACAGATTCTGGAAGAGAATGATACGAACTTAAAACAAATTGGTGATTCCTCAGAAATGGTTAATATTGAAGAAAGGTATTATCTATGTTGACAGGAGTAAGAAATGTGACAATGTAGTAGCCAGGCTTTATTATTGAGCCATTTCTTTGTTTGAAAGATCCATAGTGTGCTTGTTTTCATTTGACTGTGCCTTTAAGTATAAAGCTTGAAGATACAACCTATTGCATACTGTCGGCAGAAGAAAGAGGTTGGGGAGATGAATAAATTAAAGCAGTTTTGACGTTGTATTGGGAAAATTGAGGAAAATTTTTTCATTTAAGAAAAACATCTGAATAAAATGAATCTCTCAAATAGGTAAATCCTATTTTAGAGAAAAGAAAAACAAATTAAGTATTGGAATCTCACATTTGGTATCACTTACAAATTATAATTGTGTAGTCTACTTATAGAATAAAAATTCATGGCAAAGATGAAATATCTATATTGAGGTTATTGATTGCTTTTCATTTATTTGAAATACTTTAATATGCATTATGGTATGGACAAAATAACTTCTTATTGTTATTCTACTTACATTGTTAAAGATCCTTCTTCATTTTAAAATGCATATTTAATGAACTATTTTTAAAATATATTTTAAAGGTATTAATGAATATGTTACTCCAAAAGTTAATGTATAATCAATAGATGGGCTTCAGAAGGGTTCTTTAATACCCCCAAATCCTATGCAACGTGGTGTGTATTTCTGTGTTTTGGGGCATAGATGGGGATTGTAGCTTTCATTAGATTCTCAAAGGGTGACACTGACTTTGATAAAAGGTTAGTTCTCACTGCAGTCAGGGTATCTGTATCAGGAACACTAAATATAATTTACCACATCATGATTTGCATGTTAAGTAACTGTATTCTTTATTTTTAATTAGGCCTATTAAAGCTGCTATTAGAGAAAAGAAACAGACATTTGAAGATTACTTGGAAGAACAGATTCGGTTGGAAGAACAAGAACTGAAACAAAAACAGCTAAGGGTTAGCATTTCAGCTATTTTAATCGATTTATTTCAAATCTTTAGAGATTAATTTATAATTTGCTTTAAAAATAAATTTGAAGTGTTAAATGGTTGCACAACATGATGAATGTAGTCAGTGTCAATGAATTGTACACATAAATTGTTGAATTGGCAAATATTTTGTTAAATATATTTTACCATAATTTTAAAAGGTTGTAGGACAGAATAATCCACAATAGAATAGAATTGCAAGAAGAAAAACAAGACAAAACTTTGAGATTACTTAGATATAGCTGTAAGAAATACAAGAATTAATTCATATATTCTTTTATTTTAGGAAGCAGAAGGATCATTGTTAATCAAAGCAAAACCAAAACGACCATTCTTAAAAAGAGGAGAAGGTTTAGCTAGATTTACTAATGCTAAATCTAAGTTTCAGATAGTGAAAGAAAGTAAACTAGTCACTAATCAGAGCATCTCAGAAGACCAACATCAGTTTAAAGTAGATCGACAACAATTCCAACGGAAAACTGCTGTTATAAATAAAGGCCCATGTACCGAGAACTCTACTGTTAAGAAGAATAGTAAAGTTAGAACCAAGAGTGGTTCTATCACACTCAATCAGAAGCCAAAACTTCTGAAGAGTAATAATAGAAAAAGTCTCTCGCCATTGGGATTGAAAATACAGGCAGGGAAGAAATGTGACGGGCAATTTAGAGACCAGATCAATTCAGAACTAAAAGTTGAATCTAATAATAAAGAAAATGTATTAGAGGGTACAAAACCTGGTGATACTGGCTGCAAAGTCTGGAGTAAAGAAAAACACCCTCTTTTGACAGGGCTGGTCAACTGCATGGCTTCTAAGAGCCTGATAGGCAAGACTGTAAAAGAGTCAGAATCTTCTTTTGATATTTCTCTTCAGAAAAAGTTAGAAAGTTGGGAACAAGAAAAGGAAAAGGAAAATTTGGAATTAGATGAATTTTTGTTTTTAGAACAAGCTGCTGATGAAATGTCATTTTCCAGTAATTCCTCGTTTGTACTGAAAATCTTAGAAAGGGATCAACAGATTGGCAAAGGTCACCAAATGTATTCTACCCCTGTCAAAGCTCTGCAGCAGGAGAAGACGAATACAGTGGATCCTATTAGTCAATGGAACCAAAATGAGGATCTTGACCATATTGAGCATAAAAATAAGAGCGAGTGTGAAGTCCCACCCAAACAAAATGATTCAGTATCATCACCAACTGGACTGATGGAACAATCTTATAAAATTAGTAGGAGAGCATTTCAGATGAACACTTCTGAAAATCAAACTAGATGGAATGCAAACGATGATGAAGGTGTTAGGAACAGTGATAGTAGCGCCGACTCTGAGGAACAGCTTGATATTACCATAAAACCATCAACTGAAGATAAAGAAAGGTGTCTCAGCAGTTCAGCAGATAGTGCAGAAGTGTCTGATGGAAAGGAGCTTTTTAGGGACACTGAGACTCAAGAAAAAGATAAAAGTAGGGATATTGATCTAGATTTGTCTGATAAAGATTATAGTAGTGGTGAGTCTATTATAATAGAAAGCATGAAAAATAAAGTTTCTGAGTCCTCAAGAAAAACCTCATCCATAAGTATGAGTAGAGTTGACTTTGATGATGAAAGAACTTGGTCTGACCTTGAAGAGAATTCATGTAAACATGATGTTATTCTTGGGAATGAAGCTGTTTATGGGACTCTTCAGACAAGCTGCCCTAATAGTGAAATATGTGTACTAGACAAAACAGTAAAAAGGAAGATTGCACTAGTCAAGAAGGGAGAAGACTTAAGCAAATCCAGTAGGAGCATAGGTCCTCCTCCTACATCAGATCTTATGATAAAATTCTTCCCTTCTCTGAAACCAAAACCAAAGTCAGATTCACGTTTGGGAAATGAACCCCAGTTAACCATAAGTGAAGACCAACTACCTGGTAAGTCAGCATTATAAAATACATATCAAAATATAATAAATTTAACATTTATCATTATGTTGTCAAAGAAAATGTTTGAAATCTTGAGCTTTCTAGTTGTTCAGTAGAAATCAAGTTAGTTGGGGATTTTTAAAAATTTTACTGATTTTCTGGATCTAAATCATAATCACTAGTATAAGAGAGTCGGATGAATTATGCCTTCAGGTTTTTCAAACTTAAGCCTGTGTCTTAGCATTTCCAGGACTTTACAATGAAGTGCTTTATTATAAAGCAAGATAACATTTAAGTTTCTTTTATAACCATGGAGTACCTAACTTATATGTGTTACTGTGGTGTGGACCTTTGTGTGTGCACACTTTTTTTTTATTGCACTTTAAGTGAAAGTTTACAGCACAACTTAGTTTCTCATTCAAAAATTTTATACACAAATTGTTTTTTGACATTGGTTACAATCCCTGCAATGTGTCAGCACTTTCCCTGTTTTCACCCCAGGTTCCCTGTGTCCATTTGTCTAGTTTTCCTGTCCCTTCCTACCTTCTCGCCTTTGCTTTTGGGCAGGTGTTGCCCTTTTGGTTTCGTATACTTTTTTGAACTAAGAAGCACTTCCCTCACATGTGCTGTTGTTTGTTTTATAAGTCTGTCTAATTTTTGGCTGAAAGGTAGACTTAGGGAGTGGCTTCAGTTCTGAGTTAGCAGGGTGTCTGGGGGGTTCCTCCAGTCTCTGAGACCAGTAAGTCTAGTGTTCTTTTGTGAATTTGAATTTTGTTCTACATTTTTCTCCTGCTCTATCTGGGACCCTACATTGTGATCCCTGTCAGAGTGGTCGGTGGTGGTAGCCAGGCACCATGGGCTCAGGCTAGTGGAGGCTGTGGTTCATGTGGTCCCTTTGTCCTTTGAGCTAATATTTTTCTTGTGTCTTTGATTTTTTTCATTCTCCTTTACTCTGGACGGGATGGGACCAATAGATGTATCTTACATGGCTGCTCACAAGCTTTTAAGACCCCAGACAATACTCACCAAAGGAGGATGTAGAAAATTTTCTTTATGAGCTATATTATTGCAATTGACCTAGAGGTCCACTGAGACTATTGTCCCCAGCCCTTAGCCCCAGTAACTTGGTCCTTCAAGGTGTTTGGATGTGTCTAGGAAGCTTCTATGACTTTGCCTTAGTCAGGTTGTGCTGACTTTCCCTATATTGTGTGTTGTCTTTCCGTTTACCAGAGTTAACATGTGTCTTCTATCTAGTTAGTGATCTCCCCCCCAACCCTCTTCTACCCTCCCTCATAACCATCAAAGATTGTTTTTTTCTGTGTGTAAACCTTTTCTTGAGTTTTTATGATAGTGGTCTCATACAGTGTTTGTCCTTTTGTGATGGACTTACTTCACTCAGCATAATGCCCTCCAGATTCATCCTTGCTGTGAGATGTTTTGAAGATTCATCATTGTTCTGTATTGTTGGGTAGAATTCCGTTGTGTGTATTACGATACTTTTTTAATCCATTCATCTGTTGATGGGCATCTAGCTTTTAAAGGAGGTGGAATATCTTTTTCCAAAGTGATTATACCATCTTACATGCTTGCCAGCAGTGCATAAGAGTTCCAGTCTCCCAGCAAGCTCTACAAAATTTGTTAATTTCTGTTTTTTTGATCAGTGACATTAATGTCAGAGTGAGGTGGTATCTCATTGAGTTTTTTTTTTTTTTTTTTTT